ACAAAAAAAATTACATGTAGTGAAGTTTATCAGGAAAAAGTTGCCAACTGAAATGTGACCAATTAAAATGAGATTCTAACACTGGTGGGCAGCAGCCTCATCATTCACTTGTGCAGGAAAATGTCAGGAGCTGTTTGATGACGCTGTTATGAAGAGCTTCATTTGCATAGATATATATAATATCTATCACCTGTGCAAGAGGCGGCCTGCAGATTGAAAAGAGTTTGATTGCTTAGAACTCAGATTAATGATTTATAATTGCCGCCAAGTAGTCCCTATCTTGGTCAAATGAAGCAATGCATCACACAGCAGTTCTCCAGGCAGTCGCACACACATTGCAGTCAGCTGTGTCAGTGCAGCCCACACATTAACATGAATGTGGTTTAAGTTAAAAAATGTGCAGCTGCGGTACACTGAACACTCTGGAAAGAAGAAAAACATTTCTTTTGCACAAGGAAAACATCCGTTCTCTTTTAATCAACATTTTAAATGTGCAAAAATGCAGGTCTGATATTGTCCTGTAGTTATTCATACGTATCCCTGAGGCCTCCAGATAAGATTTGAGGTTAAGTAACTGTGGTCTTCATGGCCTTTGGAAAACGGTCTAACTGATAAGAGCTGTTCACTATCTGCAGGTCATCGAATGGTATGCAGTGAAAACATCTTTAAAAAGCTTGTAGGCAGCAGGTAGTAGGCTCAAGGCTTCAGACAATTTTTATGTCACGGTTGCATAATGTAGGGGGGTGAAAATGTGTCAAATTATCTAGAGGAAGCATCTGCGGAGGCACAGGTGCCACATAAGCATTTATTCAAAGCGAGCTACATACGGTCTTATCTTCATTTTCATCTATGTAAAAAACTTTGTGGAGAGCAGAGTTAGAGGGACGGCTGCTGAGTGTCACTCTCATGATTAATCACAGAGAAAAGGTCCCTTTTAGTTTTAGCAATAGATGTAAAGTCTGTCTGTATAAATATTAATATAAAGTTGTATTTGTATATTTTCCATTTGAATTCTGCCTTTTTACTCTGCTTTTTTTTTTTTTTTTTTAGATCCGTCATGTTTGCCTTCCTCCTTGTTAGACTTTCATTAGCAGAGAAAACGTTTTATTCATCAGCTCAAAAGTTGAGATGACATTCAAAAGCTGAAACTGTCTAAAAATTGAGCTGTCGTGGGTATAAAAGCCTGGGTCATTATTTTGCTGTCACTTATCACTGGTTTTAATAATTCTGATGTTTTGAGGGATGATTTCCACACTTACTCAAAACTCCTGAAAATGTCCTTAAATTTTAGAGGATATGCTCTGTGTGTAAACCATAGACTTTATTTAACATCGACGCAGTCTCAGTGACATCACCCATTGGTTTCTGAAGCAGATTTTTGACGCCCATTGGTGGCAGTGGCCATGTTGTAAATGCTCTGACAAACTAATATTAGTTAACCTAGTAAAAGGAAAAGAGAGGAGGCGGGCCTTAAGCCTCCACACAAACAACTACAAAGCACCCAGCTGTCAATCAGATCTGCCACGGAGCATATTATGTTTAAGTCTTAGACCTGATCCATTTTGGTAACATTAAGGCTAAGAAAAGTCACCCCTGTACAGTGTGTGCAGATAAAGACATGAACTTATCAGAACTAGAACCAGAATATAGACTTGTTTATTTCTGCTGTAAAAACAGGAATTGTAGAATTTGTGTGCATCTGACTGGCTTTTGCAGCCAGCCTCAAGTGACCACCAGAGGAACTGCAGAGTTGTTGCACTTCTGCATTATTGGCTTCGTTTTCAACTTCTAAGGTTGCCGCTGACAAAATTTCACTGGGAAGTTGCGGAGAGCTGATGTGCGAATGCAGCAGGAACTATTTTCAGGGAAATTCCTGTATAGGTGTTGATGTTTATCAAGCGACATGTGACAGACCGGTGAAAACATTTGTGCACGAAGTGAAGCTGCTGCTTCATCATGTTTTCTGCTCACGATTATAATCTTTAAAACTCATTTGTTGATACTGTGAATGTGTTGTATTACACGTTGCTTTGTCTGTACATGTTTGGAAATTTTCAGGAGTGCATGTGTGAAAAAGGCTTAACACAACAATGAAAATAATTTACCAGTACTGCAACAGATCCTGCTCTAAACTCCTGTTTCACCCACTAACTACTAATAATATACTGTGATAATCATAGTCCAAATACCACAATAATAATAATACTGATCCTGTGTTGTTCCCCTCTCTGAGGAACACAGACAACTCCTTCCAGACAAACACGCCTCAGAGGTCAAGTGAGGAGTTAATTCTTTCCCCTGCGGCCGGGTTAAAGAGAATCCATCAAAACTTTTGCCATGATCAATCATCCGATGTCTGCTCTCTGCCATCACTTCAGTTCTACATTATATCCAGTAAAGGACAGGAAGTTGTCTGACAGCCCAACATCTTGTCCTCAGATGACAGCACAGACAAACAGCCTCACTTTGAATATGCAAAAAGAAATGCTGAAGACATTTTAAGTTGTTCGATGGGTTTGATGATGCATATTACAGCCTGTCCTGTCTTGTGTGTTGGATTTTTGTTTTTACACATCTAAAAAAGTAACTCTATACACTATTTCTTTGTTTTTCCTGCACCACTTTTCTTTCTTAGTTCAGATGTGGGGGCGTGTGTTTGGGAACTGCAAAACATCCCTCCTGTCTACTGCAAGTCCACACACGTCTGGGAATGTCAGCCTCACCTGAGCAGACTCCCTGTAAGCCTGGCTGAAATCCTGTAACCATGGTCCTTAAAAAATGGGCGGGAAAAAAAACAATAAAAAGCAAAGATATTAGATCACCTACTGAAATAAAAAGACATGATGTATAGATTTATTTTTGCATATGTTCCCTTAAGGCTCCTGGCCTATCAGCAGTCCCATGCCTTCAGTTGTCACGTTGCATAATCCACCAATGACTTCATGTTCTCCCTGCGCTGCTGTGTGGGAGGAGAGACTCTACCTGAGGAGCCCACAAGCACTTCCTCCTCCGCCCTGTCTGCACACAGGTGAGTGGGAAGTGTTACCTGTCCAATACCTGCACCCATTCCTTCTTTTCGTCGAAGCAAACGGACTCTCTCTCTGCCTCTTTTAATCCAGGAGAAAAGGTGAATATTGATTTCATTTTCTACACATTGTTTTCCTATAAATTAATTCTGCATTTCTTTTACGCGTCTCGGATTCATTTGCTGTGCGCGTAAATTGCTGCTGGGTGCATTTTCTTCCCCATTGAGCTACATGTGATGTCTTAAGTTTCTTTTTTTTATTGTTTAGTTTGGTTATGCTGAATTGATTGGGCAGTGCTTTAGACGAAGTGAAATATTGGGATTCCCTTTAAACACTCGCGTAAGTCTGACTGACGTGTCCTGGGGCATATTCTTTTGACTAAGAGGCTTCCCCGAGTGTTTGAATATGATGAGACCATGATGTCTACTCTGAAGAATATGTGAATGTGAATGCTGCGTGGGAAACACTGATGCTGCTTCTTATGTTCCGTGGCACCTACGATCTCCGGTGTCCGGGAGGAAAGCTGTTTGGTGAATGTCTTATTGCTCCCCATGAGTTTCCCCGTGAGCTCCGGGTCTCACTCAGAGAGGAGCGCGCGTCCAGGATAAGAAAGGGAATTGCACCGATGACTGAGGAAAACGTTTCTATATTTCCGTGATCGGTTTCATGGAACTTTTACTGCAGATATTTTGGACATTTTGTTTTTTTGTTTTCTCCACATGAAATATGTCCCCCAAAGACAGTATGAGTCTGAATCTCGATATCTGCTTCATGTGTAACATTTCATGTAGCGAAAGTGATGTGTCCAATAGATAAAACATCATGTTCCAGCTGCTGGTCACGCGTCCTGTGTCCCCCTTATTGTAGATTTCTCTGATATGGTTCTTCTTCTTTACGCGAGACCACTACAACATTTGCTCGTGCGCTCTGATCACCTCGCGCCTACTGGAAGACCCCAGCGCGAGTGGGCGGCACCAGCTGGCGCAGTGATGCTCGAGCTGGAGAACAGTGCTGCATTCAAGTCCCATAGGAAATAACATTGCCTACAAGTTAATTAAAGCTACTAGAAGACTATGTTTCCCGAATGCCCGTTTATCTCACACCAGCAGCGCGCACTGCTTACCAGCTTTATTCTGATCTCTGATGCCGGGTTGTATTAGGCTGCATAGCATGTCAGCTGTTTATATTCTGTAGAAAAAAAACCACCCTCCTCAGGTTATTTCTCTCATTTACTATCACGTTGAATGACCAGAGCTAGATATCTGATTTTCAGAGAAAGAAGTCCTTGATAAATGTGCAGATGGAACATCTCTGAACAATTTTGCTGCACAACAAAAAGAGTTTAACCAGACAGCCAGAAATGACACATGTTCCTGTTTTCTGTCTCTGTGAAATAAAGTGAAATGAGGAAGCAACGTTGATATGGGAATGACAAGTATGGGAAAGAAAGAGAAATATACTGCATAGCTTTAAAACCTGTTAAACACTCTTAGGTTTCAATTGAGTTGTTTCGTCTTAATTGTTGTTTAGAATAAAAAGTTTCATCCGGTGTTGGAGTTTAAGAGACATCAGTTTGTGTTAAGATGGTTTGCAGAAATAGTCTGATGATAACAGTGGTTATTTATTTTAATAACTTTCTAGTGTGTCATTTTATCAGCCAAAATAACTGTGCCTGGGGTTTTTTGTATCATTAGTTCAACATCATTACAATTGAGTGATTAGCATATAGTATGCATGTGTAGCTACATTTAGTGGAAAAGAAAGCGAATTGTTTGAGTTCGTCACAGAAAATTGTTGGATAAGACAGGAAAACAACATTTCCGTGTTTTCCTGAGGGAATTGAATGCAACATATTTCTCGACCGTTTTGGCACGATTTTCACCGAGTTTCCCCTGCGCGTTATCACTGTGCTGTGTGTGAGTGGGTAATCTCATTTAGACAGAGAGCGTCCTCACACGGAGGAGACATGTTTTAGCATTACAACACTCTCATTCTGACAGATAATGTCACGTTGGCAGCATTTGTTCAGACCTGAAACATTTTCTGAAATACTCTGATCTAAGTACTCTGTCGCGCATACAGTCTCTTCATTTGGACAAAAAATATTATTTTTGGATAAATTCGACATCATCTCTCGTCATGTGTGAGTGGTAGCTCTTGTCCGGCGTTTCCATGCAACAGCGCAGGCGGCTGTGAAGCCACGAAGCACGCTGAGGGATAGATGCTGAGGGCTCTGTAGATCTGTTTTGGGTCTGTGAAGGAACCCCGTGCGCCTTTAAAAAAAAAAAAAAAAAACCCAATGGAGAGTCAAGCTGATGGAGATAAACCGGTTGGGAGCGTAAAGCAGTACGATAGCGCAGAGGAGCCCGGTAAGAAGCTCTTTATTGCTGCAGAAATGTATTTCAAATGTGGTCTGAAACGCAGGTATGTGATGGTGGTAGTGATGGTTTGAGCGCGCTCAGTGAGACGTGGACTGAACATAATGCTCTGTGTGCGTTTACACTTAATTTTCTCTTCTTCAGGGATTTATTTAAAATCCTCTGGTTGTGTAAACGGGATTGGATTTATAGTAACGCACACGTGCGCACCACAGGTGTGTGTGTGTGTGTGTATGCAGGGAGCATCAGATCAGTGTAGGCTACCTGGAGTTCACAGAGTCGGTAGATTCTTAGAGGTTGGACTGCTATAGATGTATAGGTAATTTCCTGCTGCCCATTTGTGATCCCAACATCACAAGAGGTCGTATGGTAGCCACAAACAAAATCTGTTTCACTTTAACTTTACTGGGTTCAACCTGACCTGACAATTTGTACATGAAGTCACTGTAGTTGCTGTGTTCAGACTCGGCTCTCTGTCTTCATCCCAATATTTACAGCATATTGATGGAAGAGTTTACTCACCTTTAAATACTAGTTCGAGTTTTATGGACATAGTTCAGTGTGAGTCATTTGTAGATGCAAAGGAACCAGCAGTGACTTAAAATCATAGGGAGCGTGAATCTTAGTTTTAGCTCTTAATCACTTGCAAAAGTTAAGTTATCATGTCTAAATAGATAACACAAATAAAAAATAGAAACTATTTAAATGTAATCCAGATTCCGGTCACAGCTTTGACTTAATTATTTTTTTCAAGATTTTGTAATAAACTGTTTCTAGGGGGCAGCAGAACATCATTTAGCCCAATAGACTGCATATACAAATGGACAGCGTGCCGTGACCTCCTGCTTCGTACAGTGGTGAAGCCAAAACACCTGCAGGTGCTGACATAATGTTAATTTGAAATCAGAGTCTGTGCAGTATGGATTGACTGGCTAGAGACACATTTAACTTACCGATTAAACCGCAAACATCCCTCACTTGGGTACAGTCCACAGCAGAACAGATTCTTGTGTGGGTTTGAAGCAAACACTCACTGTGCTGGAAGTTCAATGACTCTTGTGTTGGTGTTTGTTATGTTTCCTCTTGTAGTTTCTGCTGTACTCTGCTCTCCAATGCCCATAGCGCCACAGGAGGCACCTTCGTCATCAGAGATGTCAGTATTGGCTTTTTATAGCATCAAATAATATATTATTATATATTACTTTTTTTAAAGAAACAACAAGTCAGTGTGATTATAACTATTATATCAAAACATGCTTTGAGAAAAATGTAACAAAACGTGCATTTTGATTTTAAAGTTCTACTGCTGCAGGTCTAAGCTATAAATCTTCTGGCTTCACTTGAGGTGAAGTATTCTGCCGTCCATTCTTTGATCAATGATGAGAACATAAATGAGATTGTGTGTGAGTGTATATAATAACACACTGGCAGCTTTGATGGATGTTGGACCCCTGGCCCCTGCATTTCATTAGATTTTATGTTTATGGAATAGATGTGTTGAAAAATCAACTGAAAGTAGTAATCTGAAAGACTCAGTATTGTTCTTCTTCTGCTCTACTCATGACTATGGCAGTGTTTGCAGGTGTGTATTTGCACCTCTTCACTATGTATGTTAATGTCAACTGAAATTGTACATAGTTGAGTTTCTCGAGTCAGGCTAACCCATCTAAATTGTTTATTCTTGCATGTGTGCACCTCAATGGCACCCAGACTGGCCTAGACATTCTGAGCACGCTCCAAAGTTCTCGGGCCGCGCTTTGACCCGGAAGTCAAACAGCATAAATATGTAACAAAGCAGCTGTGACATTTTTCGCCTGCCTTCGGATATCATATATAAGCACGAGGGATTTTGTGCATCTTGTTTGTGGCAAAAGTAGAATGTAGTGTAAAATGCACAGAGATGAAAAGATGTCCATGTTTACAATGTTCCACAAACAACCAGTTTGCTGCTTGTTAACTTCTATGTTGATTGTTTAGGATGTGATGTTTGGCTTCATTTTTCAAGACCGCAGGTTTCCGCTCGATCGCCACCTACCGTGGCAGAGTCAGAAATACTTAAGTCAATAAAATGATTTTCCCTCGGTGCTTGTATACTGGGACAAGGACAGTCCTACTAAAGCTGTAACTGTCGCTCGACTTAATTGTGCATGCAAACATACTGACTGTTTACCAGCCACAAAATATCCATGGTTGCAGCATTATCATATCATCACTTGCTGTGGGAACTGTTTAAGAATGACAGATAAGAATTGATTTCCTGGTAAACAGTTTTATTTTTGTAGTTAGTGGTGGGCGATATAACGATCTTAGATCGTGAAGGATTTTAACATGCTGACGATCTGCCAAAGCAGAGAGATCGTAGAACCGGGCTAATGTGTTTATTCTCTCATGCTGCAGTTTATGCTCTTACACAGACGCGTCTCACCCCCTCCTTTTTTGCTCCGCAGCTGTGAAAATGAAAACAAAATTTAAAAGTAAAGTCCGCAAAAACAATTCCATCCCGGTTATTTGCAAATGTTCTCAGAATTTCTCAAACCGACACGGCGTGAGCAACAGTTAACTTATCTGCATAGTTTGCATAGTTAAATTTACATCTCAGATAGCGACACAAGAAACCTTTTAACGAGCCGGAGAGATGTTAACAGTCTGCAGAGAGTCAGACAGAGAGGAGCTCAGACAGTCAGTGATGAGAGATATGGTAAATGGACTTGAGCTTATATAGCACTTTTCTAGTCTTCCGACTACTCAAAGCGCTTTTACACCACATGTCACACTCACCCATTCACACCCATTCACACCCTGATGGTTGTGATCGCCATATATCGACATATCGGACATGTTGCTCAACTGGGGATCAGCCGCCCTGACATATAACCCCGGTGTTTAAAATGTTGCTGTCGGTGTTTTCTGCTCTCTCTTGGTTTTTTAAAAGTTACTATCAAGCCTCTCCTCCTGAAGCTCACCTGTTGTGATAACTGAATTTATAGGGATTACACTAAACAACGTTTCAAAGCAGCAGGCAGGTGAGAGTGAGTAACCATGGTGACTGTCTGTCTGTTTGTCAATCAACAATGTCCCGCCCCCTCTATGGATTAAACTCTTCTGTCAGTAAAACTTACTTTGATCATGTGCACAGAATGAACACATTCTGTATTATGTTTGATTATATATAAACTAAACTAAAGTTAGTCTAATGATGTCATAAAAACAACAACAAAGGCTGCAGAGCCTGTATGAAGCTCCAGCTGGAGGAACTCTGCAGGGCTAAAATAGAACAGAAACACAAGAACTCGAAGTCTACATGTTTTTAAATGAATGCATCACTGCGTGAAAATGTTCCTGATGAACATAAAAAGAGGACACATAACTAAATCATAATTTCAAAGTGGTGAGGAAAACCTTCAAATTGTTCATAAATATTGATCAAATTGAGGGAAAGACATTTCTGTTGCTAAAGATGTTCTGGGTGAGACCTCCAGACCTCCTACAAAGATGTTTTTCAAATAGATTAAACTTGTCAGCGCAGTTTTTGTGCATTTAAAAACATTATACAGGGAAATAAGTTTGGTTGAACTGGTCAGTAACTTACAAATTTGTCTAAAGATCAGTATGAAAAAAATCGTGATAAAATCGTGATCTTGCCCAAAACAATCGTGATATGATATGTTTCCCATATCGCCCACCTCTATTTGTAGTGCATATAAATTATGGATTGAGATAATTGCAATAACTGGTATAAATGCAGAGACTGGGTCATTTCCTGCTGGAAACAAGAAGTATGAAAGCAGTGAACCAAAACAGAAAAGTACCAAAACAAGCTGAAAGATCATACAAAACTACACAGAGTTAAAAGTAGCAAAGGTAGCAATGCTTCTCTTGTTAGTCCAAGTGAACACATACATTACACAAAGACAATTTATCCACTGGGAACAACAATTTTTGTTTTCCCAAGAAACCATTTTAATCGGTATGATGACAAAAACTAGAATAGTAACTCAGAGACTCAGCATCATCTATTTTTTGTAGGACCAACGGCTCGGGTTGTTATTGCAGGTGTGTTTTTGGACATCTTCCTCCAACATCCAATTTGTTTGCCTTAGGCCGTGTTCACACTTGACTTCTTTTTTCAGAAAAAAGCGCTGCTTTTGAGCGCTGTGTTTGAGCGAGTGTTCTGTAACCATAACAACGGGATCTAGTCTGTGATGCAACCGCGCCAGAGCACAATGCATCAATTTAGCACAGAAAAGAACAAACGGGACGGGAAGTCAGACACCGATACGACATTAAAACATCCGGTTCATTTTCAGAATAATACCCTCCGTTTTGACGGTTCAGAAAAAACGACCGTTTGTGTCTGTTTATGTGTTTATAAGGTTTGTATTGAGTTCTATACCACGAACATCGTATTATCTCGCAAGTGAATCTGTTAAATTACCGCGGAAATTCCTTTGTCTTCATACTCCAGCTGTCCGGCTGTGCTCTCAGTGCTGCTGACTGAGAACGCACTGATTGGTCAGCTGTCAGAAAGGCGCTTGACGTCACCCATCGCTTTTCTGAAAAGTTGAAATAATTCAACTGAACAAGGTGTCAGGCGCAGCTCTTTTTGAAAAGGCGTACTCTTTATAAAAAGGCATCACCCTTTTTCATTTTTCCATGTAAAAAAAGGCGCTGACAGTTGAAAAAAGAAGTCAAGTGTGAACACGGCCTTAGATTTGCTTTTGCTTTTAGAGTGAGGTCGCCTGCAGTCATCAATCTTGTTTTCTTTAGAATCTAAAGAATAAAGTTTAGATGTTCAGTCATGCTTACCAAGTATTCTAGAGTAAACAGTGCACAGTGTCTACCCTTCCTACGAAACCAATTGTTCCTGGGTGATGGATGCTTTTAGTTATTTCTTCCCTGGAAATGTCAACCTGACACCCAGCTCATACTGCCAAGAGTTAAGGTACACTAAAAAGACAAAGGGCTTTCATCATGGGGCCGAAACCCAATCA